ATCTCCCCCTTCTTTCATATGATTCCCTGCACTCTGCCCAAAGTTTGGCTATGAGTCTCAGTATCTGCTTTGATACCCTGCAGGGTAGAGCCTTTCAGAGGCCCTCTGTGGTAAGCTTCTGTCCTGTTTCCTGTTTTCTCCCTCCTCAGATGTCCATCCTCTTTGTCTTTCTTTTGGGGACTGAGCCCTAGCATACTTTTTAAAGGGGAGCAGATGGTCATACCTCAGGATCAGAAGAAAGATCCTCAGAGTACCAGGGCAGGAAAAGCCCTCAGACAAGCAACTTTTCATATTGTCTTACTTCACATAATGGTGCTTCTGCTAAGAGCAAGTAGAGCACATCTCATGATTCTTACCCAGTTCTTGATGCTTCTTGTTTCTGAGTAGAAAAGTTACGGATATACTTACTAGAGACAGTCAACCTTTGTTCAGCTGCCCATTAAGAATGAAAAAATGCAAAGTACTTGAGATTGACAGAATGGTCATGTTTTATTTCACTTGGTACACCTGTGGGTCTTCCCTTCTTTTTCTGTGATCATGAATCACTCAAAAGCCTACTGTATACCAGGATTTGTTTGTGTACCAGTACTGTACTCAGAATACTATTCATCTGTCTTTCAGCCCCAAAGCCTTTTTTATCCTGCCTCCCATTTTCAATTGACACAGTGTGTCAAAATCGCTATTCTTCTCTCTGGTATTTATGGCTAAAGGAGTCATTACTTGTCATCAGGGGTCCATCTGTACAGTGTCATTGGTTAGTGACACACAACCTCTGTTTTAGCTCTGAGATATTACATTTCTCAGGATGGATGTTAACCCCACTACATCCATCTTCCACATTCCCAAAACAAAAACACTGTTAATAACTGTTATTCCTGCACAGCCACACGAACAGAGAGTGCACCATGGTGATAGAGGGCACCCTCCTTTACCACAGAATCACAATGTTACAGAGATTAGATACTTTTCCCCCACAATGCCACTCTATATTTTCTTGTCTGGGACAGACAGATCTTTAGCAGTGTAACCACAGACACAGAGTGCCATTTGTGCCTTGTGAAGATTCCCTCAAGAGGGCTACAGGCTAGATGCTGACCTGGTGGTCTAAGGGTGTGATTTCCAACCACTGTGAGATGTCAGAATCAAAAGTGCAGCAGTCATAGCAGGTGGAAATCTTCCATTTTGTCTTAAGCTCTGTATTTATTACTTATTTACTCCTGTTTTGGTTTGCTTTATAACCTAAATAACCCATTCCTAATTCTGCTGCAGATTCAGTAGTAATACCTCTATTGACCCAAACTTTTATCCAACTCACATTCTACTGGCTTATAAAGTATTTTCAGTCAGCATACCTAACTTCAAATCACTATATTGTCTAAGAAACCATTTATAAGTACAGGTAATGTGGAAAGATAAATGGTTTCAAGGTTGGTGTTTCCTATCCCAATCAGGAGTGTAGGAATTTTCTTTTTGGCTTGAAAGATGAATAAGGAAGTATTTATGTGTCTTCCTCTGCAATTTTCATTCTTTTTTTTTCTAAGCACAAAGCTCCTTACTTCTCCAATTCATTCTCTGACTAATGATAGAGGTGCTAATAAGCATGGTGACTAATAGTAAATGGGATGTGGTCTTGGATATGAGAAGAAAGAGGAGTGGTCAGGAGTAACGAAGCATACACCCTCAAGCTTGCGCTCAGCTACAGACAACCATGAGGGATAGCAGCTGGTTGGCATGTTAGCAGTCCATATCTCGTGGGTATTCTTTTGAGCTTTTAAGTATTACTATGTAATTTGGAGTTTGATAGAAAGTTCCTGTGACCTACATGTAAAAGAAATAGACTGATTTGATTGTGCTCTTGTTCCCCATCACGCTGAAGGGAGGCAGGGTGTATGTAAGGATGAAGGGGACACTAAAGCATGCCTAGGAAGATAGCAACAATGTGTGGAAAGATGGGAAAGTGCACTGACTTGATTAATTTGATTAACACCGAACTTGCTGCCAATGATAGACATCTTATTACAACTTGTGTTGTGGGCTTTTACAAAGATTTTAGAAAATGCTGATCTGAAAAAAAAAAAAAAAAAACCTGCTCCTAGTTATAAATTAAGATGTTTACCCCAGTTACCAGGGACCCAGAAAAAGACATTTAAAGAGTTAGAAGGTCACAAGAAAAACTTCTAAAAACGTAGATGCTGGATGACTGTGAAGTTTCCTGTCATCTCAATCACGTGGTGATGCTTTTAAACAAATTACAATTAAACACACTTTTACAGAAATGGCACTGGTAATTTCAGCATCTGTCACTTAACCCTATTATATTTTCAATGAATGGATTTATAATCAGTGACAGAAGCCTTGACATTGTCCTTTTCAGTCACTGATATCACATGTTTAACCTTTGGTAGATTACATCACTATATTTATTCTGAATTGCCAGGAAACATAGATCTATTAAAAAATCATGTCAATTCTATCTAATATTTTATTGTTTTGTGTTTTTATGTTGGATTAATGGGAGGAGATGGTAAGAAAAGGAACAAATGAACAACAGAAACATACAGTAGTAGAGTTACTAAGCAAAGCTGAACCCTAGGAGGAAAATTGCCATAAAAGTCTTCAGAAGGAAAACATGTGACTGCATGTGGAACCCATTGTCATGCAATGAGAAAAATTCATAAATCTAGGACTGATGTCTTTGACAAGTCAACATCAAGTAATGAAGCACAAGATTCAAGACTTTTTCCTGACCTATTCCAGAGTTCTAGAATAATGAAGCAGAAATCACAGCTCTATAGCAGGAGAGTTATGGGTGGCAGTCCATGGGTGGCAGAGCAAAGGGCTGCTTGCACTACCATTACTAAACACGTTCCCACAGCTTCAAAATGAAGAACTTCAGGAGACATTGAACTGCAGGCATTGAAACCATGATGGTGCTCTGAAACTTGCTTGGAGGTCCAGTCAATATAAGTAGCAACTCTATAGTGAATCTTTCAGAGAATAATGACTCTTGGGAACAAAAGTAGGGTTACCTACAGTCATACACAGGAAAGTAATGGCCAGGAGAGGTCTTTAGAGGAAAAAAAAATTGAGAGAATTATGTAAGCTACTTCTGATACAAACCTAATTTGTCTTAGAATCAAACCCAAGAACTAGTAATACATTCATTGGCAGACTTGCTATGTAAGGCAAGTATTTTGTCTAAAACATCTTTGCTAAATTTTTGTGGCATCAAAACTAGAAAAGAAACTAAAGTTCCTGCATGTGTACGGGTGTGCTGCATGCAAACTGTGTGGCTTGTGAAGAAGTACTTAGATGTCTATGTTGTGGATTCTACAAAGCCTCTGAAACAGTGCTTACCTCAGAGAGGCTGGCGTGAGCCTTTTCTCACCTTTGCTTTTGTCTGGGTCTGGGAAGAATCATTTTATTTTTGTATCAGCAACATTCACAGGCCCTAAGACCCAAGGATCATAGCGATTTACTGTGGATTTCCACATAAGTAGTAATGCCCACAGCTTTCAGGTTGGGTAGGATGTCAAGAGGGATATCATACTGTTAGGAGCATGGTCCTTGGCTTGA